ACCTGGAGTAATGAGATACCTAGAAATAAATGTTTTATAATCTATTAATGCCAACATTCAAGTTAAAAGCCCTTTACAATATGACAAGGTCTGTAACCTTCACAATGAATTGCATATTTTCAATGTTACCTATCCAACTATTAGTGAGTTATTCTCAATGTATCCATCACTTAATTATTAAATCGTTGTAATATTTACTTATAAGAAATAGTTATAATTACCACTGAGTTGATACAACTACATAATACATTATTATGTACCTACATCTATGCTTCCCTTCAGGCAGAAACCGACTAATGTGGTTCCGGTTTTTGCAAAGATCGCATTTGCATATTTCTTAGTACATATTAGCATAATGATACCCATCGATACATAATTACATGTTATAGGTGCCCACGTACTAGTACTTGTAATGATTTAATGTGCAAGTAAGTATTAGGTATCTGTTTCATAGGTAGGTACATAAAGTTTTATTTTAGTTTTTGTCTTAGCTATAATAAATAAGTAAATTGAGATTGATTACTTGATTACAATACAGTCCAGTGACCTCTCTGAACAAGTAATAACTTAATTAGATAACTATATCTAATTAACTAGTAATATAGGCAACATTAAACTGTCAAACACCAAGCGGTCACCGGTGACCGCGACCTATTGTTCTTTAATTGTGTCTATAAAACCGGTACTCGACGAGTTAATGCCTATATCCGTTGTATTTCACATATAAATTTCATACAAAAAAGAGGTCAGCCAAGTGAGGAAAGTGCATAATTATGTACATATACTTACTTCAGGCTTCCGCAAAAAATCTTTTATTTTTCAAAAGAGAATATCTTCGGTTCATTCACATTTCTGTAAGTTCAATGGTAGGTACAAAGTTGAAGGCTTTACCCGGCTTATAAAGCATTGACTTTCGAAAACAGCTTGTAAAACTTCTTTTGTAGTTACTTCGCCAAAAATGATTCATTTCGACAAGATCAGTGAAATACCTAATATGAATACTTCTTTGTAACAAATCATTTCGTAGTTCATTATCACCTTAGTAGTTCAAAGACCCAGGCATCTCAAAAACACTGAACTAATGAGCAAACTAAACATCTATAAAATTCATTACAATATGTCAAAAATCTTCAAGTATGCACAAAAAATAAATTAGCAATCGCATAAATAAATAAACAATTTCAATACAATGAATGTCTAATAACAGGAAAGTCACTAACAGTACTTATTATTGCATACATTATTATATTTATTTAATTGCAATGTATTGATATCTTTTTCTTGATGTTTCAAAGGGTTTTTTATTTCTAATTGATTTTTAAATCGAATCTTACAAGTGGGAGGAGGATCTTTTGTCAAAATTTTAATAGCGCATAGATTATCTCGCATAAAAGATAGTAGTTATTGCAGCAGCTTTACGTTTCCTTATGTATCAGTCACGATCATAAAGTATTATATGTAACTAATTGTAACAGAATAAAGAGTTGAGTACTCATCGGGGATTTTCGAGATCCTCACCAAAAAAAATGTCATAGGCATCGTGATGTTTCTTTTTTACTACACAGTGTATTGTTTTAATAATGGCAATGAAGTCACAAACAATGATATTGCGGAACTAAAATGACGACTACTCCTTTAGTTTAGGTTGAGATCAGCGTGACTGAGTGAGGAGTTTGTGATCCTAAACTCAATTGATAAGACTCGAGTTTTTTTTGTGAGAATCGTAAGCAACTCAAATTTTCCTAATTTTCTCAATATGAGAATGGCACAGAATCAATAGGTAATAAACAATTTAGCCTGTCGCTCCCAGGAACAAAATGTACCTAAATATAAACTTAAGTTGTGTGCAAAATCTATTTGTCACAAAATACTGATAAAAATAACCTTTAAACCTCTAAATATCCTTTCGAGCGAATGAACTCGATGTTATGTTTTAAGACTGAAATGACTCAAAATAAAACTAAAGACTCAATACATAAAATAAGTTTTTTCTACAGTTTAAGCAGGTAATGTAATGTATTATTATATTATTAAGTATGAAAAACTCGTACCTTAGCTACGGTTACAGTTCGCATGGCCTATAGACCTTTGCACACAAATAGGTTTCTCACGTATAATTTTAATGTAGACACAGTTTTATTGAAAGATAAAAATTTTTCATAGCACAAAATGACCGTACCTACAATAGACCAACTTTTGGTTTGGATGAGCCTATTGCCATACACCGGGAACAATTCCATACTCCGTATTTTTTATTGAAAGCCTGAAAATTAAACCTGACACTTGACTATATAACTATAATCAGAGGTTAAAAAACTGTCCGAGATATAGTGCCTTTTTAACCAGTACATAAAAATAGATATAATATTTTAGTGCCCAAAAGCATTAAGAATAACGTATAATTAATACTAAATGAGTACCTTAAAATACATCAGATAAACTTTTAGGGGTGACTCTAATGATTCTATGGGACAAATATGACTTTTTTTACGACGATTGCTATTTTTATAAATTTGTCCGTTGTCGTGACTTTGCTGCATTCTATAGATTTAAATGTTTATTTTTTTTTGTACCTACTTTTTTCTTTGTTTTTATTTTATTGACGTCGTTCATTTTTAGTGTTTTAATACTCATGAGACCATCAAGTTGGTTTATATATATTATTAGCCAGTAAATCTGGTTTGATAATAATATCTCTAGCTTAATATAATTTCTAATGTAAATTGGTCATTTAAATGTTTGCGAATAATAAAAAGTAATATAATATTAAAAGTTAGCTTCTACCCGCGACTTCGTACGCACAATTCCGTTTTCTCCCGTTTCCGTAGGACATTCAGAATTTTTTACATAACATAACATCACGCCTTTTTATCCCCGAAGGGGTAGGCAGAGGTGCACATTTCGGCATTTAATGCCACTGTACAATATAACACCCACTTTTCACTATTTATGTTATGAGTCCCATGTAATAAGGGGCGAGCCTATTGCCATATACCGGGCACTTTTCCAGACTCCGTGCTACTACTGAGATGTTTTTAAAAACCCCGGTAATACTTTGCCCGACCCGGGAATTGAACCCGAGACTCCTTGCCCGGCAGTCGCACTTGCGACCACGCGGCCAACAAGGCAGTTCAGGATTTTTTCTGTCTTAAAAACCTTCTCCTAATAATAAAAAATACAACAAAAAAAGAATTAGTGAAATTGATTTCAGCCATTCCCGCGTGGTGCCGTGACCAAGGGTAAAAGGGACTCATCTTCTAATTAACAAATATAAAAAAAAAATTAACAAATGTATTATTACTTAAAGTTTTCTTCTCATGTATGAATCCAAATACATATTCAACAATGCATCGCTTACCACTGGGCGAGATATTGTCTAAACGCTGTACAAAAAAAAACTTGGTTTACATCAACTCCTCTTAATCACATGTTCAATCTCATTACCAAGAGAGAAGCTATATGACCTTTAAATTTCTCTGTAAGTCATGGTTTTCTGCATATTGTGATTTTTGAAGGAAAACGAAGGGTAAAGCCAACCACCAGTTTTTAAGGAAATGTTATTGTTGTATTTTTGTAATTTTATTATGTACTAGCTTTTACCCCTGGCTTCGCTCCGGTCACAAAAGGATAAAAGTATCCTATGTGACATATACCTATATACACAGCGCCATCTATACCAATTCTTTTGTTTTCCCTCGGGAATATCAAAATTTTCCGGGATAAAAAGTACCCTATTATTTAATCCGGACTTCTAACTTTACTCCTGCAAAAATTCAAAGCAAACGGTTTAGAAATTACGGCGTGAAAGCGGAACAAACAAACAAACAAACTAACTTAAGGATTTACATAGGCGATCATACAGTATACAAAATCGATTTTCAAGTAGGTACTTTTTTTAAGGGAGGAATATCATCGAATGAGTTCTCCCGCCAAGGTGAGGCGGGAGGGAGTGTCAGACTCTTACTGACTAAAAACCACCCCGTTCCTATCCCTACACTTCGAGCCGGAGCCCCGGTAACCCGTTAGGTTCTCCGCAACTTAAGTAGGTACTAGAGAATATGTCCAAGGTGTGATTGGATCCGAATAATATATGAGAACAAAGATGCAACATAGTGCAATTTCGTTCTATTACTTTATTCCTTAAAATAAGACGAGGTCTCACATCGTATGGCACATAGTTTTAAGTATTACGTCTCCTTCTACCTCTTTACTTCCCAGAGTACGATACGCATTGTAATTAATTACTATGATGTCAATTATCAATTGATTGCTTTTTATAAATGCATCTGTAACACTGCTGAACTCTGTACAATAACAAAAGACTCTAAGCTTTAGAAAAAATACAATTATAGACGTTTACTTGTTAAGATGTCAGGTTTATAGCAGGGTTGACCACAACAAGTTATTTCCAATCTTAGATTAACAATAACATGTTTGACAAGATTCAGACTAATTACATACAAAGTATGAAAAAGTTAATTACTATACGAAGACACAGCAAATCTAAAAAACTCAATAAATTTGGAACTAAATATAACCAATCTTAATCTCAGATACTACGTAAGGCCAACATTTTTGAAAAAATATTAATGCTTTTTTTGAAAATGTCAAAGTCGTAAAGATAAGCTATAATTAAGTGAAGAAATATTTATATTTTTTTAAAATCCACGCCGACAACCTCCTGACAAAGTTCCAAAAACATACTTATCTACACGCACTTTGGTAACCCTAACTTAAGCCCTGACTCATCAGTACACAGCATTATAGTCTTTACGTGTGAGGAGGAGAGTATACAATGGCGTGCCCTATTTTGACAAATAATGACAATGATCATGATATTAATTGAACGGAAAAAGAATCGAGCAGTTAACATAAATAAGTTGCTCTGATCCTGATGGCGCACAGTGTGTGTTGAGCTCTTGTGCCAAAAAGTAATAGATTACTTCGCAACCAGCATTTATTTTTAATCCTATTTAAATTAAACGTTACTTTAACTTACAATGTTCAGCAAACAGTATTTTGTCGTGCTCTTACTGGCGTACGTTGCAAATTGCGAAAAATCATATTTACGTAAGTAAAAAATTCTTGATATCCTAATTAACTTGATATGTACTAACGAACATAGACAAAAAAACTGTAATTTTCGTGTCAGTCATGTAAAATAAGACGAACACAATGACATTTTTGTGCATTTCAAACTGCTTTTTTATTAAACATAGGAACTAAGTATCTTCCTTACCTACCATACTTTATTAAAACGTATTTTAATGTATAAACACAAAGTAATTATTCATAACGTAGTTATCACACCATGCAGCTATCTATCTACTCAAGTACCAATTATCCTATGACCTAAGTTTCATAGATATTTACGTAACTAAACACTTCAATAACTTAGCCCGAGTTATGAGCACGTGTAAAAACAAAGAATGATTTAAAAGACCTATTCTACAAATACAATAGTTTCTTGCATCAACTAACTTACCTAATGAAATAGTAAACATTTTCTTTTGCAACTAATAGAATTATGCATAACAACAGTTTTCCATTAAACTAATTAAATCGAGTAATCAAGGAAACATCACAACATCTGTGAGCAAAAAGTGTAAATGTATATTAGTAGAAACCAGTACTATGAACTTGAACCTAACTAAACCGAGCCTGTAGGTAAAGGTTTAACTTAAGTACCTAATCAGCCTTCAAACTGACAAACGTTGGGCCTCCAAATGACAATACCAGCAGGTAAATAATTACACAAGACAATGTCCTCTTCAAACATTTTACTCGTACTTACATATTTGTAGATTGGTCCCTTTGCATTTGATTACGTACCTGTAGTTTATTCAACATTTGTCTCATACCCATTAAATTAGATGTACACCCGAATTTTGGTCCTACAAAGATGCGTAACGTAAAAAGTTATCAGATTTAGAAACGTATAAAAATAAATGTAAAACTACCTAAGATAATTAATTGGCCTGCTCAATCGATACCTTACATAGAGATAGCAAGAATAATACTCATATGAGACCTATTCTTCAAGTCTACGCTTTCACCTAAATAACTCTTATCTCTTTCATATTATTGCGAGATATCTTGGTACTACAATAATTCCATAGTAGACACGACAAGCAAAACCTCTACTACTTTAGAACATCGCAAATCTCTAGTCACGTCAAAAAATGTTTATGCAGTGATTTGCTTGTTTTTTCTGTATTGTTTGATAAAAATGGTTTATAGTTACACATGGGGTGGTTTCGAGCTTTTGTCAGCAAAAAATAAACAAAAGGGAAGTTTGCGATCGATCAACCTTGTGTCGATAAGATTTTCCCCTTTCTTTACATAGTATAAAAATAAAGTTACTAGTAAGGGTTCGAGTTATAGATATTCTATGTATACATAGATAAATAGAGCTTTAAGCAACTTATTAAGCAATTTGACCTTCATAATAATATTTCTCATCTTCTTAGCAAGAAATAAGAGACATCTATTAGACTACATAGTTGTTGGTTTGCGACCACGACCAGTATTTTGAAGTATTTAATGTTTTTATAATATCACATCATCGCCGCGACCGCGCACGTTGCTCTTGAGGAAGAGCCCCTCTATGGCTCGAAACTAGTAGAGCTTTTCTCAATATTCTCATGTGCTAACCCGCAATTTTTAGTTAATAGAGTATTTAATATCTGTGAGTACCTATCGGTAGTTTATCTTATTACCAATCTACAAATAACCGGAACTGAAATATTTCGGAGATAAAGTAGGTAAAAGAAAAAAAAGATGTTGAATGAATACATAAGTTTACCGACATTAAGAAACATTACGCTCGGTTACTTGTGCAGACATAAGGTCAAGTTCAAAACTTTTGCCAGGTTAATGAAATGCACAATAAGTCAAGGTCGTGCAGACCAGTTTTGTTCCTTTTTGTTATTTTCGCGTATTTAATTTATGTATTCATGAAATGAATTTCACAAAACAAGCAGAAAACTTTTTATTAACACTATACTGTCAAAGTCAATGTGTACCTAACCAACACCGCCTTTTTCAATAAACATTTACGTTTGCAGTACAAAATTAAACAAAATTTATGCTAATTTATCAAGATAAACATTCGATGTTAGAAAACAATGATAAATACTATTGAAAAAGTATCAAAATAATCAATATGTTTGTCAACTTGCATCAAACTTGTCAAATGATAGTAAAATAATTAAAATATTTATGAGTGTGACAGGCGTGAGTTACTAACGGCGTAACTTTGCTTGTACAATGCATGTTTAATTCCACAATGTTCATTGATCCTAACTAACTGGGTAAGATGTATAAATTGTAGGCAAGTTACAAATCAATACTAATTCGATAGTTGAGTCTAAACAAAAACTTACATATTAAAAAAACGTTCATATTATAACTTTGACTAGCATTGATGAAACTCTGTTGTAGAAACAGGTAAAAATCGAGTTGGTATCTCGTAAGAAGCATTTGACGTCCCAAAGTCCCTTATCTCTTCATTGACGACAGACGTTGACGTCATGTATATAATGAATGGAGCTATGACACAGTCCATCACATTGTCCGTCACAGTAGCATCCCTTACCCGTCATTCCGTTTGATGTTAGTCATGTCATGTGATTCGAATCTTAATCGTACTTACATATTATGATGTTTTTTTTTAATTTTGTATTATTTTTGTATTGTTTGCGTGCCTACTGTCGAATCAATACTTATTATTTGTTTCTTTCTAAAATGCACAGAAAAAGAGATATTGTAAAAAACTGTTTTTCACCGCCATTCTTTCAAGATGGTGGCGACAGTGGTGGAAATCAGAAAGAGCAAATCAAATCTAATCAAATCAAGTGTCAAAATCTAGTCTCATTTATACCACATTTACATATTTAATATTTGCATATATTTAACCACTGTTGAATAATAAATACTATTTATATACAGTTTTGTAATAATAGTAGGTAGTTTGATAGTTGTCATGTAATTATGCCGTCGAGATCCTAATTAGAATTCATAAGTGCTATAATGTCAATCCAAATTAACCTGAAATAATCATGAGACAGGTTCATTTTCTTCAACAAAATAAATTCAAATTTCGCATGGGTTTTTTCCAAGCAGTCAAAAAGTTCCTATGATAAGAGTCTGAAGTGATTTTTCTTAAGCAGATATGTTTTTCCTATTCCTTTAAGTGTCTGAGAGCCATGCTTCGGCGCAAATGGGCCAACCCGACCGGAGTGATGCTACGGCTTCACAGAACGCTGACGTGAAACCAAGCTTACGTTGTGTTTGGTCGTCTGAGTGAAGTTCCCGGAGGCCCAATTACCTCCCTACCCCTCCCCAATCTCCCCAATCCCCAACAATCCTCAAATTCTTAATCTCCAAAAACCCGGTAACGCCTCTGGTGTGCTGGGTGTCCATAGGCGACGCCGATTGTTTGCCGTCTGGTGGTCCTTCTGCTATTTTCAGCGTATCTCATAACAAATATACCTAATGCAATTGTGCAATTTCTTCGTCTTATGTGATCATTAGTGCTTTGCTAGCAGTTTGATTTGCGTTGTCTGACCGTTTGTATTTAATAGAGTTTTATAAATCCTTTTATTGCGCATTAATATCCGTCAGACTAATTAATATCATCAAATCAACACCGACTGGCTATCGTATAAACGCAATCAATCAAATAAAATCAGACGGAATTATTTCGTTTATTTAATCTGAGTTTGACAAGGTAAACGATACGTGATCCGTTTGACGATGAATTTGAACACTCGTCACGATTGAATGTGACACGCTGCGTGTACTGAATCTCGATATGAATTATTGATTCATTAAAACAATGACCCCTAATTATGTATTTATTTATACACGGAAAAACGCCCTTTATTTACCCTGTACACCAAAAGAGTTTCCGGAGTCGCTATGGTACCTGCAAGTACTTTTAAACTACCTACGACGACTTCAGTTTATTTAATCTGTATTTTCCACGTTTACATAGTTACGTTTAAAACTAAGAACAAAGAAGTTGCGTTTTAATTAAACCACATTTTTCAAAGAAACAATTATACTTTTAAACCAACATACATATTGGTTTTGTAACTACGGCATACACTAATATGGCAGATGTTCACAATTTAAAATAGGTAGTATACTAACTTTATTTATTAGTAAGTACTTTCTTTTCACTATTCTTAAATTCGGTATGTAAAGCGGTACCGTAATACTGACTGCGAATTGTCATCTAAATGACTTTATTTAGCAGTGTCCTATTTAAGAATTAAACTTTTTTATTGAGTCAATAAATCATTTCAATAAATAATTGATTAGGCACTTTTGTTACGTCAAAAATTGCATTTTCCGTCCGTATGTCTGTTAGTGATCTTAAGTACTTCTCTGATTCATATTATATAACCTAGTTTTATAGAGTTGTCAGCATTTTATTTTTTTATTTTACAATTTTAGGAAAACTTAGCAAAGTCTTAAAACCTTCTTAGGAAAGCATAGATTAAATTATAGTATTGTAATAATCTTGGGCGATTGTATTCGTTACTAAGCATTTGAAAGTGTCCTAGGTACCTACTATTGTTATTCTTGTTCCATAACAACGTTTAATGGATTCTAAAGAGAAGGAAGTTTAGTAGAATATACCTACTTTTTATTACAAATAATAGGAGTTGATAGCTAAATAATAATACTAAATCGACTCTTATTAAAATACTCAACACAACACTATTACTAAACGATGTATATTATCAGTCAATATACCTATTATAATGATTTTGCATTGTACCTCTATATTACCCATAATTAAGATTTACAATTGAACGTTTTTAAACAATAATCATGTATCTTTGTCTAGGTCTTCAATCAATCTATTGTTTCATCTTCTTTTATGATAAGTACTTTAGGGGAATAAAACTATTACATATTAAGTATTGTTTATTAATATTCAGTTACTATTATTTTTAATTATTTGCTTTAGGTATATTAAGTTTAAGTTTAAATTGGATCCATAGAAATCTATGATTATATAAGTGCTACAGCATTCTGGCATACCATAGTCTCTGTCTACCCCCATGGGAGACAGGCAAGAAGGTTACGTATCTATGAAAAATTACCTATTTCCTAGAACCTACCTAATACATCGTACACCTATAATTATGATTTTGATGGATAAATTACCATTATTGGTATATTGGTAATCAGGTACATGAAGCAGACACGGTATATCGATTATTTTTATCTTCAAGCGCTTACGTTTATACATATCTGTTGCAGCACCCTACATCGTACCATGTGAGTTCAAGAGCGATGACTTCGTGGACTGCGTCAAGAATCAAATTGAGATCGCACTGCCGCTATTCACACTTGGAATCCCAGAAATGGACGTCCCTTCAATAGATCCAGTTCACTTGAAGAACATCGAGATTCTTGGAAACGGGCTAAACCTGACCTTCTCGGAAGCTAAAATGCACGGCCTCAGTCAGGCTAAACTGACGGAATTAAAGTAATTTGGACCATAATTTTAATACATTAGTATTTATTTTATGTAGGCCGTTGACGTCGAATCGGCGGCTAAGATAGACGCAATGCGGAAAGATGAAACGAGTGTCGATGTCGTAGCACTCGTAGCACTCGTAGCGTAAATTGTTACACTGCGGAGAAATCCTGTGTATACTCTACGATCAGCCGAGTTAATTGTTACACCTATTCAAAGTTCTAATAGCGTCTTGAACATAACATCACGCCTTTTATCCCCGAAGGGGTAGGCAGAGGTGCACATTATGCCACTGTACAGTGTAACACCTACTTTTCACTATTTATGTTATGAGTCCCATGTAATAGGGGGTAAGCCTATTGCCATATACCGGGCACAATTCCAGACTCCAGACTACTGAGATTTTTTTCGTCTTGAAGTTTATTATTTATGTGGCAATCGTAATTTTTTAGATTTTTTCTATACCTTCAGTAGCGCAGTGGCTATAACAGCTGTTCGCGATGTAAAGCAATGATAAAAATCTATCTTATCTACATAATGTAATGTACCCATAGCAACTAGTCAATGCCTACGTTCTGGCAAAAAGTGTACGTCTACAACTGTAGTCTAGTCGCGTTTTTTGTTTACTTTCCACTACAACTACAAAGGGCCGAACTTACGCTGCTTAAATTAAAATTAGTTGAATAATTAATTCACGGGTCTAGAATCAAGATAAGATCTAGTTTTCCCCACAAAACCTTGAAAGTCAAGGATTACGCTCCGGAAGTCTATTTCTAACTTGCATATTTATTGATGAAGTGATCATTGTACAAATGTCGACGCTCCACATTGTGTGCAAGTAAATGAGTAGCTTATAACTATAGGCAGGCAATTGACTCAATACAATAACTCCATAGTTAGGAGCAAATTGTTGGAATACACGTGTCTATCATAATTGCCTTTAAAGAGTTCCGTAATGCTTTATATCTAAGAGCAATTTGTTGAAGATTACGTTTTTATGATAAATTATCCTACGGCAATTTGTAGTAATAAATACTTAGATTTAATAATTGACTAGTGAAGTTGGCTTTTGCACTGTCTGTTATATAAGAAAGAAACATGAAGAACGTAATGCATAGTACCGATACACTCTTTTTTTGTTTTTATATTTGACGTTTAGCCACCATCCCGCCTGATGGTAAGCAAACATGCGGCCTACGATGGAGCACGTCTGCCCATAAGCAACCTCATTTGGAAAGAACCTAAATAAATTAATCGGATTATAATATAGACAAAGTGGTTATAATCAAAGACTTTTACAATTTTATCAAACCTTTAAACATTTTTACTTTTCTTTTGTTTCTCGTTCCTTCTAATAACAGGCATGATTAATATTTCTTAGTGATCGATCACAAGGTGCCATAGTACCTATCTTATCGAAATTACTTACATACAAGATTTAGCATTTGTGTAGCTCGTGCCGTTCAAGATAAGGAAATATTGATTACTTAATTATTATTAACTACCAACTCCGGAACGGTTTCGCTCGTTTTCGTTCGTTCTGGTCGGCTCCTATTAATCGGAGAATAACGGTTTACACTATATAGGTATAATAATCTTCCTCAATAAATAGCCACTTATGCACCACAAAAATAATTATTCAATCTGGACTAGTAGTTTCGGAGATTAGCGCGCTTAAACAACAAACAAACTCTTCAGCTTTATATAACTTTCACTCATACTTTTCAATATTTATTTTCTAACCTATTTGAGGATGTTTTTATAATAACCATCGTGAGACATGCCAAATTACCTAAAATCGCGGGTTACTCACGTGAATATATATGCTGAGAAAAGCTCTACTAGTTTTGAACCACAGAGGGGTTCTTCCTCATGAGCAGCGTGCGCAGATCACTGAGTGAGTGAGTACGAGAGTAACCCGCGATTTTAGTTAACTAAGTATATGAGGATGTCTAGTTTTTACATAGGTAATTCCAAAATAACCTTATTGTGTGATGATGTGTCACATCATAGCAGACTTATTAGTTCTTAGTAGGCACTTGAATGGTGAGAAATTAGAGTTTGTAAAAGAGTCAACTTTCCTGGGAATTACTGTAGACGACAAATTGCAATGGGGTCCTCACATTACATCATTAGCGGGACGATTGAGCTCTGCAGCTTATGCTGTCTGGAAGATACGACAGTTAACTAATATAGACACGGCAAGACTAGTGTATTTCAGTTACTTTCATAGCATTATGTCGTATGGCATCTTGCTGTGGGGACACGCTGCTGACATTGAATCTATCTTTATCTTACAAAAGCGCGCCGTCAGAGCTATCTACAATCTAGGTCGTCGCGAATCACTCAGAGAAAGGTTTAAGGAGATCAACATTATGACCGTTCCATGTCAATTTATTTATGAAAACATTATGTATGTTAGGAAAAACCTACAGTTATTTGGTAAAGTGTCGGACAGACACCACTATCAAACTAGACATAAGAATAGATTAAGTCAGCCAATTTCGAGATTAGCGAAAGTAAGTAGGTCGTTCGTGGGATTCTGTGTTAAATGTTATAATAAGATACCAGGCGATGTACAACAACTAAATGAATCGAAATTTAAATTATGTATAAAGAAAACTTTATGTAGACAAGCATATTACAAACTTAATGAATATATAGAGGATAAAAATGCTTGGATGCAGGCTAGTCCGGCTCCACAGGATAACTAAAAACACTTGTTTTAATGAAATCGTAAATAATACAGCCATATTGCTAAATTGTATATTGTTTAACTTAGATAACCATTGTAAATGTGAGAGCCCTGTAATTAACTTAATATTAAATTAGATTAGTAGATTTCATTTGTGTCAGCTTGGAGTTGTCATGCTCACTCAAAGGTCTCATTGGCGGTGGCGCGTGCAGTGGATCGCTCGATTCCCTACAATATGGTTGAGTTGGGCGGTGCTGGTGTACGTGTCATGTTCGTGAACGGGCGCCGTCAACTGGGACTGGTCAGCTCCAGACTGTATTACTGTCCTTAAGGTTATTTTCTTTTTTGATCACTTTGACTGGATTTAGTGTTACATTGTTCTCGCACAATCCGAACAGCAAAACTATGTAACTAGTAAATTGTATTGTGAACCTGATTGAAAAAGAGTAACCTATGGAGTTTCTTGCTCGTTCTTCTCCATAGGAATCTACGCCTTGGAATGAGCGAATAGCTTCACTTTAAATTTTTGTTTTTGTTGACGTTCAAAAGTGCCATTCTGGGCTAATTGAAATAAATGATTTTGACTTTGACTTTGACTTTGCACGTCTATTCATTTATTTACATATGCATTAAAGTTTTGCCATTTTCAGAGTGCAACTGAGCAAAGGTGAAGGAAAATTTTCTCTATCGTTCAAAAGCAACATGAACTTGACTGCAAAGTACGTCGCCGATGGCAAAATCCTAATTCTTCCGATCAAAGGAAACGGAGACGCATTGGTTGATGCTCGTAAGTACCTGTGACACGTAATATAATTTTGGATAAAAGCGTTATATTCGATATGTTGTTTGTTTTCCTACAAAGGGATACCTACGTATTTTAGTCACGCAGCTACCAAGTCGTATAGACACACCCGTATCTGGCATCAGACTTAATTGTAGGTGAACCTACGTACCTAACAGACAAACATTTTTGACTTCGATATCGAATGTGGATCACGCCGCAAGCATTCTTTAAAAAAAAATCCATGTAGTTTTCACTCTCCTACGATTCTATTATATGTACTTAGGTATAGATATAGATATTCAACAAATATTTCGTTCGTAATTTACAGAGGGTGTAGAAGTGCACATTGACAGTAAATTGATCCATGAAAAGGACAGCAAAGGTGACCATATGAAGCTGGCTACTCCAAAGTATAGGTATACCATCGAACGCACCGTATTCGACCTGAAGAACCTATTTAACGGAAACAAGCAACTTGGTAAGCTCATTTTCATTTTATCCATCTGAAGTCGTCACTCATTTATGTCATTGGGAGATATGGATATTGTGTAATAAGCCCAAACTCGATATCTTTACTAGCATAATTATTGCTCAAGGTTTCACCAGACACCTCCCAATTCCATTATCAACATCGACCTACCATAATCTTATATAGATCATCTAAACCACACATACCTACTTCCCATAAAAAAACCACATATACTGGTTACAACTGCTTGAATGCCGATATAAGACACAATAAGAAATGCATTCAGTCTTGCGTAAATGTTATCTTAGATTTTATTACACATACACAGTTCTTTATACCTCTAGATCGACCTAATAAAGGTGTGCTAATCAAACAGCCGTGGTCGAGAAAATTATTTTCAAATATTTTACTTACATCTTTTCAGCGGAAACAACCCTTCAGTTTGCCAACGAAAACTGGCAACAGTTGATGGATGAGCTCTCTCCCCCGGCCATCAAGCAGATCGTAAAAACCGTCGTCAAAGCCATCAACAAGTTTTTGTCCAAAGTCGACATTCATGAAATAATAAAAGGATATACCGAAGATTAAAATAAGCTGTGATCATAGTCAATAAGAGATGAATAACTCATTCATAAATCAATTAAGTACTTGAAGATAAGATTATTTAATTTCTGTAATTATTGTCACGCTTTTAAGAATTAATTTCGTCTGATGATGATACAGCAGGTTACCTTTAGCGTCTACGTACATTATTTCTTATCGGTATTTCATACAATTTGCTGAAACCTGTGTATTACTGTTTGGTTATTAAACATTTCTGATTATAAAATAGGTACAATTCAACAAAACTGAAATCAAAAGTTTACTATGTATTTATGTTAAAACTAAGTTATTTAAATTAATAAAGATAATACAAAACCAGTTTTTTTCATTCGTTTTCCCTTAATTCAACGTAAATGAACAAATAAACTTTCTTTTGTCCGGAATCTGTGAATGTTACTAGTTCCCATAGTAACTCGTTTATTAAGTGTACGGTAACTTGTTATTGATCTATGCTCACATAGACCAATAAACTACCGATCAAAATAAAAAACAGATAAATGGGATCAGAAGAATATAATATGTAAGTATATTAAAATAATTTCAGTCGACGAATTAAATATTAAGCTTAGCCGAAACAATGAGTATTAAAAAATATAAGTCTTCGATAAATTAAATAGATACATCACACGTGTTATTTTGACTTAGGTACATAAACAGAGGGATCAAATACGCCTTTGCTAAGCGCAAATATACTTCTTATGTGGCAGTACATAAGGTCGACAACCGCGTAGGTTATGGTTGTACGTCTAGTTCGTTGCTACTGGTCGTACTGTTGCTGCCTCTTCGTCCTGCACTTGTATTGCCTGAGACTCCACCAATATTCATGGATTCAGTGTCAGTACGGTGGCTGAACCTTTTCAGTGAGGTCGGCCATGGCATACGCCACCCCTTCTTGTACCATAGCACACCAACAAACACCATGCCTAGGAATATTATACCAACTGATGTTCCAATCAAACTTGCTTGCAGAGCTGGCATTCGATCTGTATACAAACGAAGTATTTTTAAAATAAATTGTTAGAGGTTTCATCTATTCTATTACCGTTCCATGTAACAGACAATACCAGACTCGTATCTACTATATTCGGAATATGTAAAACTCACTAATTCAGTGGTCAATAATTGTCCTGGTCTAAAAATTAGAACTAGGCCAGCCTTGCTCAAATGTCGTGTTTGTGAGCAATTGAGATAAGAGGTAGAAAATTTTTATAACATAAATGAAATCAAATCCTTTGTCTCGCTCGTCATGACTTATAATACTGTCAAGGGCTTGAACTTTAAATTATACTTAAAAACCATTTTCCTTTAAAATCCAAGGCCATATAGTGAATTACTATAACAATAGAGCTTAATGGAAGGTACTTGACTACTTGATTCCTAATACCCTACTGTAAAAGACCTTGGTACCTACAACTCTAAAGGTCAATAACCTAAATGAATATTCATGTACAATTATGTTCAGTTAATACAAAGCGTCGAGCGTTCATCAGAGCGTTGAATGCGATTTTTTTACTTCAAAAATACATAGAGCAAAAAATGTAACACAGTCACACATGCCTCACCTTTATGGAATTGATAAAACGAAAAGAATATTTAATTCTTAAATGAGTTAAATAATATATATCCTTAATATAATAATGAATAATATACTTACGCTTGACTTGGTAAAGATAAATAGTATCTTTCGACTCCACAACTTTATCGTGTAAAAGAGCTGCGCAGAACCAGTGACCCAAGTCATCAGCAGTAACAGGGTCAATAGTAAGAGAGCAGTCGCCGTGACTTAGTTCTCTCCCAGGTGTGAAATAATAACGATTTAGAATGGCACTGGAATAAATAAAAGTGATTTAAGTAATCAAAAGTACTCCAGAGACTAATTCCCTCTAAAAATGGGCCAAAAGTAAAAATGTGCACCATCTCTTGGCTTCAAGTTTTTGTACAATTTTGGTATAGGTTACTACTCAACTGGGAAATCGCAATAATAGATCATTTAATGTATAAATGTCCTTAATTACATTCACCTACTTAATACAAGCAATATAACATAGCCCTAACAATGAAGTAATGCATTCGATCGACACATTCGCGATGTAAGATTTCTTTGATTTAATCTTGAGGCGGATTTTCAAATTTGAGATTACTTGTCAATAGCGTATGTTTGCGATTAATACAAATACCTACAAAATAAATTGATAAAATGTTCTTACTTATCAGCGGTTACTGAGGCATCGAGACTTATGCCAATAAAAGTGGGTGACAAAAATCTGCAATAATCTAGTGGCCTGGGTCCGTTTGAGGTATGACAATATAGGATGGCAGTGCCACCTATTTCAGATCGAACTTCTTGTTTATTAGCAGCTAAAGAGCCAGTCACTCGTACTTCCACGTCTTGCGTTACCTCAACACCTATTTGGTATTTGTAACCCATATGGCAAGTCCATATTCCAGAATCATTTTGAGACACATGAGCGAACGTGATCCCGCAATCGCCAGATTGCAGATTTTCTCCTGTATACCTGTGAGAAAGAAAACACATTTAAAATTTATCTTAAATACTAGATACTGCGATCAATCGTTCTAAAACAAATGAACTAGAAAATGTAGAAGTTTAAAATAAAAATTAAATTACCAAAATGGCTGTTCACCCTGAACCTGTCGCTCCACGGGTGTGTATTGAGAACCATTAGGATGCTGAAACCAACAATACTGGAGAGAAGCGTCTGCTCGACACATTAACGTTAAACTCGTGTTGTCCTCTACGAACACTGTCCGCGTTTCTTCCTCAGCACCTGAACTGTCCCGTGTGAGCTGTCGCCTTATCCTTGGAGCTTGAAGTGAACGTATTAATTATTATTATTCATTTTGACTTTGAAAAAGTACCTACAAAAGAAGACTACAACGCTAACGTAAATTGGCAGGTCATTAAGAATTAACCATTAACGTCAGAGTAACAATATACAGCAACAAGTAGATATCATTCGTATAGTCACAGTGAGTCACATATCTATGAAGTGCATAAGTAATTATTACCTTCTTGCTCAGAGACGGTAATAAGAGCTTGCATAGGTGTCCTTTGATGGATGACATTGTCAACCCTCTCTTGTACTCCAATCGTGCACCTCCAAGTGCCGTAATCAGTCGAAGTTGCAGATTCTATCGTTAGGCCACAGTGTTTTTTGAAGAAACCATCACCGTAGTAGCTACGGAGAAATATTTTGATTTTATCTTAGATTTTTATATTTGTGTTTTCCACTCTCATTTTGTAAAAAGCAAATTGTATTTAGCTACACAATAATTAAAATAAACAATATAATGTGTTGAGTTTAATAAAAGGACAAATGATACCAACTTACCTGTACCGACCATCACTTAGACCATCCATTACATTAAGACCAGAAGTTTCTGTAGTTTTTTGGAAACGACAAAAAGTTATATTCTTCTCCGTGTGCAGAATGTTGCAATACATATGAATGTGATTGTCAGCATCTCGAACGAAACCTACGTCGAGCCGCTCCCCTGAAATCCATAAATTACTTAGCACATACATAATTTGATATTTATAACAAACTTCAACCTTACCTGTACCACATTATTATTGTATTTTAAGCGTGGCAAATGGTGATACCTATATTATATGAGGGACAAGTTAGGACAAATCAAACTGTAGATAGATCATTTGGTTCACATCAATCGACCTGGTAATTCTGGCATACCATTAGGTCTAGCAATAGACATGCAGTGGTTGTAGAAACAACTGGAATCAAACTCCTAGCCTACTCCCAACTCTAATGAAATCGGTGTTTGAATAGTAAGACCCAAAATTATTAGAATGATGGTTAATTTTACTGTGTTTGGTAAAAAATAGAATAAAACGTTATGTACATTGTAAAATGCCAACATATGACAGGTGCATTAGAACTATATAGATAAGATTGATTACCTATTTTGTATTAAGTATATCTATTTAATTCTTAAATTATCAATACCTATCACTTTGATAAATATTTGATTTGAACGATTTGATAACATAATATACCTACTTAATTACCTACTGTCTAGCGTCTTTCTTACTTCAATCGTCGCCGCTTTTGTAGACAGGTATCTGACTTCAAAAAATGACGTAATTAAGTAGGTACACACGAAAGGGGCTCGGATGCCAAAAATACTGATGCGAATCACGACACTAATGTCATGGCCAACTTTTCGCATACCTACCTAAGCATCGACGAGGACATGACCTAGTCTGGAAACTGGTATTATACAATCTTACACACATATGCCCGAGAAGTCACCCTTAATCGGACATCGGAGTGTATGACTACAATGTCAAGCGCGCCCCACCTACTGCGATAGGCAACAGATTGTTCACCGATAAAGTGAATTTTTGAGCAAGTCTACATGATGAAATCGATGCTTTGCAGAATAATGCAATTGTAACATAATTATCGTTTTGTTTGTTTGATAATGCTAAATGATTAAAAATCGGACGTTCAGTTTATCGATTAGTCAATGTTATGTTATCGTTAACACATTTCCAAGCACCTGAGTTATATTTCGGCCACTGAATAAAGTCACAAAATATACAAAAACACAAACCGCTTTAAAATTTTCATTTTTTATATGTCATGCCTCGTAGAGATAACAGGCTAATTCTAAAATACCGAATGGGATCTGTTCCCGGTTAAATCGTAAATCGTGCTCTGAATCCCAGTATACTGTCCACGTGTCAACGTGTTCACAATAGCGAAACTCGGTGTATTTTACAACATTATTATTGCTATACATTAGGACTGGCATTGCTTGAATAGTACACAATTGTTGTTCTGAATGAACAATAAGTTTAATGGAAAAAGAAAAATTGCTGCTACGTTATTTGTTCTATTGGAACTTACTTCATTATTGTAAGCGACAAGCGACAATCATAGAATTAAATGACACACACAAAATAGGTAAAAGTGACACTAACCTTCCACGGAGACGGACCTATCAACATGTAACTCGGTGATTCGCCCGGGAATACCAAGCACCACGCTCCACCTTCCTTGCACAGCCCTACTGGTGCGATCCAGGGTAACCTTACACTGACCCGGGACTAAGGAACTCTCCGAGAACGGCTGAGTTACAAAACAATACGAGTTGTTTAAAGACGAAAGTTCCACTAATGTGTTAGTGCTCCCATCTTTCAATAATATAGGTTCCTCCACATCACTCGTTACTCTGTCTGGAAAAAAATGTGGAAAATTAGAAGGGTTGCGGTCAATGACCAGTATCGAATGGAATGAATATTCGACGTAAAATGTGTATTAACGTTGGACCTCTATAGGTAATTAATAGTTATTTATACAGCTAAGAACGGAGGTAGTCTAGTGATGAATGATGATCAAGATGTTTCATGGGATTTCTTACATTTTCAGTCTGTTATAGGGGATAAGGCTAACCTATCACATGGGTCGCATAACATTATTGGGAAAAGTGTGTAATGTGACCGACCATCTACACTTCTATGTTCCCTTTCGAGTCCAATAAAAATGTAGGTAATGTTATGTTGTATTACATGTCAAAGTAGTATCGAGTAGGTACCGACAGAATGTTCCCTCCATAAACCAAATTGTAGTGAAAAATGTTTTATTCATTGGGTGCGTTGTTTATCAATGAAATCGGTAAGCTCAACAAATACTGTTTGGTATTACTACAATGTATGCGAATTAATTTGATAATGCAACTGATAAAATTATCTGCCGTAGGTGGGTAGTAGGCACCCGTTACTTATGTATTCGCAATGGTAAGAATCTAGTACTGCAAGATTAATTTTATATCGAAAAAGCTAAAAGATTTTTTCATCATACCTATCTGGAGTCAATGGGTGATCGCCTACGGTACCTAAGTACCTATCTATCTATCAAGTATTGGATAACCTACTAACTATCTACGTGTTTGAAGGTTATCACCGTACCTCTAACCAACCAGGACATTTAGGATTATGAGTAGAAGCTGTAGCCACAAAAGGCGGAAGGAACGGGGTGGATTTTGCTTAGTAAGCATCTGATACTCCCTCACCCAAGACGAAAGAAGTCATAGGATGATCCCCTCCCCCTCAAAAAAGGGGTAGAAGCTAGGTAATGAACCCCCCAATACCTGATAAAACTTACCCAGATACATGCGTGTCAAAGATTGCCTATTTGGTAGGTAGTAACTATTGGAACTAACCTCTACCTGGGCATTAGTATAAATATTACATTAAGTAGTCATCATAATTAAAAGATTTGATAAAACTGTCACACATTTATCAAATTTGATTAGGTATCTATTTTACGCTTAGAGTACTATCATACGGTAATATTATCAAAACGATGTTAGATACATTAATAGCACAATTAATTTGCTTAGAAACATCAAAGTCCAATAGATTGGACTGAGATATTCCTAAACAATGAATTTATCTAGGAAAGTTAATATCACAAAAAGTTTTTTTTTTATTTTTACTTTATTTTCAGGCAACTATGGCCCATAGATTTAGAAATACTTTTATGGCATAAGATAAGCCGGTTAGCCGGTAGACGGATCACCTGATTTTAAGCAATCGGCGTCGCCCATGGATACCTGGACCACCAAACACCTTACAGACTATTATTTTAATATACTTTAATTAAATATTTTAATATACTTTGTTGTTTTTATAATAACTATCGTGAGACATACTAAATTAACTAAAAAAAAATGTAATGTAATGTAGGTACCTGCCACATGGATCTCAGACCAACCGACGATGGAGTGGTTTCCACCGGTAGCTGTCATACGCCATCGTCCCGTGTCCCTGAGCAAAATATTGTGGATTCTCACACCGCAGCCATCACTCCATGCAGAAAACCTTCGCACAATTAATATAAATAAAAAAATACATCAAACAATGTACGCATCAAGTCACCTGTAGATTTATTTATTTTATTTTGTTTTGAAAATCATTGACCGAAACTAAAGTATTCTCTTATGTCGTGAGTGCGTTTACAAACATATAATTTCACATACACATAACATCTAGACTCAAAACAATCATTAATTGTGGAACACACAAAGAATTGCTTATTCCGGGAATCGAACCCGCTGCACGCAGCCGGTTGCCCAGCCAGAGCGCCAACCGTGCAGTCTGATACAAAACATGATATATATATTAAAAAGATAATATTAACTACAACATAACAACCATGTACGCTAGCTAGGTTGGGTGGTGCTTAAATAGGCATTATTTTATAAGATTCTGGAACCTTCTCTGTGCAGATATCAAGAGCACCTAATAGAACCATATCCAGGTGTCTATACATACCTAGTACCTAACTACCGACTCGTATTTGTTGCCTGTTTAATAATAAAATAAAATAACTACTAGAGATAGGTACAAGCTCAAATAGGATCAAGAGGAAATTATGGGACTTTCATAATCTATAGATTGATCGCGGTGTACTATAGATACACATAATAAAGAATATTTCTGTGTATTGTCCATTTCCATTCGCGTAAGTACGTACCAATAAGGAACACTAACAAACACTAAAATTAATCGCATATTAAGATTTTCAATAAAATTAAAATGCTTTTTTAATTTTCGCTTAGGCATAGTTTACGTGAGTAAACATAAGTAAACATACGTAAGTAATATGTAATTATGTAAATAAATAAAATAATATCTACCTAATTCCTTATTTCTATACCAACACAAGTGCCTATAACACTGCCTATAAGCGCGTCCATCACCTACCTTTTTATTATAAAAACTTATCTAAACGACATGTAGGTACCTATTGTTCGGTGGGTTGCGGTTATTAAACGTTATTCCTGAAGGAGTCGTAATTTCACAGCTTTGCTGGTTCTCTACTTTCTCAGAGAGACGTATCAAAGCGTCGTGTCCTTCGGCCACATACAAATGTAACGGCCATCCAATGCCTTGCTGCATATGAAGAAGATTATTCAACCGAACATCATACGTCAATATCTGAGTCTGTCCATTTTCAACATAGAATAACACTGAAATATATTACACAAACGATATTATTACACTGTCATTAATTAGTAAAAAATATTAGTATTGTTGAATTTACAAACCTATAGTGGTCCACAATGTAATATATTGCAGCATTGCAACGAAAAATTTATTTAAAAAAACACTACGGTTATAACAATATGGCTACTCTCATTTGGACTCCCCTAGCAATGATCAAAAACTGCAACGGTACCTAGAGCAGTGAGGATAAAGTAAAACTCTATCTGTTAATGTTATCGATTATTACATATATTCCGTTGCGATTGTGATTACTTTTAGGTACCTACGATAAAAACTTTCAGTTGAATGACAGCCGTGCCCGTAATTACCAATTAACAATAAATCAAACTGATAATCCGCCCAATTAGCACCTATACATAGACTAAAGATAGATCTCTAACAATACAGGTACTCATAAGCAACAGTCATAATTTAGTAAAGCTAAGGAAGTCCCTACCTACCTACTTACTCACCGTAACTAAATGAATGGTAACCTATCAGTTGACTTCTAACCTATCAGTGGGTGTGTACAGTGTAAGCTATAAGTACGTATGACCAATAATACCTAGTTATTTTTTGCTTTTTAGTTTTTACTTATCGTTTGTTTTTAGTTTTTGAAGTCGGGTTTTTTAAACGTAGTTTTTTATTTTATACTTTTTTTTTAGTTTAGTACTAGAATATATTACATTATGTACAACCCACATCGGTGCAAAGTTATCATCAATACATATTATTCAAGTTTAAACACCAGGTAGCTACTGTAAACCATTGTTCTCTTAGCTATCATACTAAGTACTTCATCATTGGACATTTAGTGACAACCACACTACACCTAGATATCAAGTCTTCATCAATACAAATTAATCAAACCCACACAAGATAGCTACTGTTAACCGTTGAGGAGTTCTCTCAACTATCGTACTACTTCATCATCAGACCCTTATTGATAACCACACCACACTTAGGTATAAAGTCCTCATCAACACAAATTAATCAAACCCAAACACAATGTAGCTACTGTTAACCGTTGAGGAGTTCCCTCGACTGCCTATCGACTCCTTCGTCAGATCAACTCCAGACCTTTATCAGATTGTAGTGGTTTTAAATATTTGACGAAAAAAATTAAGAAATACACTAGTCGCCCCTATAATTATTAAAAGTTCCCCTCGGTTCCCCTGGGATTCCATCATGAGATCCTGACTTCATGACAATGGAACCAAATGACAAGAATCCAAAAAGGTTTTTTGAAATCGGTCCAGGCGTCGACGAGCAATCGAGTAACAAACATAAAAAAATACGGTCCAATTGAGAACCAACCTCCTCCTTTTTTTTTGAAGTCTGTTGAAAAGGTATTTTTGCTACATAGGTTTGACAGCTTATAACATAAAAATCCTAATTGAAAAACATAATAGACACATTACTCGCCCCTACAATTTTCGAAAGTTCCCCTCGGTTTCCCTAGGATCCCATCATCAGATCCTGACCTCATGGAAATGGGACCATCTCGAGACCATCAAAGAAAACAAGAATTTTGGAAATCGACTCACAAACGGCAGAGTAATGCGCGAAAAAACAAAAAAAAACAATCAGCCGCACATAGTACCTCCTCCTTTTTTTGAAGTCGGTAAAAAAACAAACAAGGAGAGGTACAAAATAATGTACTTGCACGATTTTATTAGGTTATTAAATTCCACACCCCACAACATTCGTGGAGCCTACTTTATACGTCTACTTAACAATATTAAAAATCCATCTAAGTTGAAATCATTTAGGATTTTAATACAAGAATATGATTTCAGTTCTAAAGTATAGGAAGCCAAAATGTATAAAGTAAACAAGGTAGTGGATACAGGGTGACTTGTAACTCGACGTATTCCTCTCGGGAGATGATATCATAACTAATTTCCTACAAAATTAGCCCTGAGGTCACTACCTCAGGGCTAATTTTTAAGCCACTTTCCGACTATTTACCTCACTAGGTAATAGTCGGAAAGTGGCTAGTTTCTGAGACATTCAACATTTTTGGTTGAAAAACATGATAAGCTACTGGTTTGATTTAAGTTGTTAAGTTTTTATCAGTTGTCAACACATCGATAAATATTTATGAGTACTAATACTCCAGATATATCATTCGTTTTAAAATAGTAAGTAAACTCTTATCAAATTTTGTTTTGAGTCAATGATTTGGTCAATCGAAAACTGCATTTAGTTTAAAATATTGATATCACACTAAAACTATTAGAAAAACTTAATTGGCTACCCAAAAACATTTAATTACTTATTTATAAAATTCTCAAAAATAAATTAATAACTTGATGATAGAGTGTAAAGGAATACGGGCAATTACAAAAACAACATTATTTACAAAATTTTGTTCAAAGTCACCTTCCCTATGATGAATACATGCCCGCACATGCTTACTGTGTTTCTTATTTATTTAAACTTAAAACTAAAAATACCTTAAATAAAACCATCACTAAATAAAATCACTTCTTGTAATCAGTTCGGGATTTTTTGACCAAAACCAAATATGTTGAATTCTCGGAAACTACCTACTTTCAAACCAGGCACCTCAGGGCTAATTTTGTAGGAAATTAATTGTATTATCACCTCCCGAGAGGAATACGTCGAGTTACGAGTCACCCTGTATATTTCCTTTGTTCTAGTTGCGAGGTTAGAAACGCAGTCAGAATTTATCATAAAATCTATATTTATTTTAATGTTATAAATACAAATTGTCAGTATCGTTTTCTTTCAAGTTGAAACAAAGCGTTTTTAATATTTGTATGACATGTATCTGGACAATGGAGAGTGCTATAAGCTCTCATTTCCTATCATCAGCGGGTGACAGCGCGGGTTAACATCGTCAAAGTGTTTTCTTCAAAAGGCAAAAAGCATATTGGTTTTTAATACCTTTATTTTTGCTTGCAGTTATAAAAGAGCACCGTTGTATTATGAATACACACAGTTAATACTTTTATTCTCTATCAGTACAAGTACCTTTTCATTCGTATTCATTTGTGACGACTTTAATAGACAACAAGGAATAATAATATCCTCTGGTGTTGCGGGTGTCCATCGCATACCATCAGGTGATCATTCTGATCGTTTGCCTCCTATTCCATAAAAAAAACTTGCAATCTCTGAGCAGAAGGCATCACTAGCACCCAAGTTTCAATATTAAACACATTGACTGAATCTATTTACCTTCTGGAAACATTATATCGTATTTAATTGACGTTAACTATAAATTATTATTGTTCAGGTTTTTTGGGTTTTTTTTACTCGCTAGTGCTGCCCTCTGGCGTGAGAACTTACAATACATAACCTAAAGAGGAGAAATTCACGAATAGTGGAAGGCTTCATTGTAAGAAACTTAAAATTCAAATATCGTTTCGAATTCATAATCATAGTATAATTTGTAAATAGCGAATTTTCCTTTTAGTAGGTCCTACAAGCTTTTCACAATTATAACCATTACATTGTTCCTTATATGTTCTTAAATTGATGTAGTTACAACCCCACAATAACTAACTCGTGATTCAATTGCTTAGCTTATTTTATTTAGTAATATAATTATTGGAGATCAAAGCACTCTATTTAGAAGGTATATTCACAATTAATTTGTGTGTTGTTTTTTCTTTAACTGGTAGAATTGGTATCACATCATCTGCTTCTTTCATGTGAGCTGTAGGCATCTGGAACAGAATATTGAAAAATATTTATTAGTGTTTTTATTACTTTTGATTAACAGAACTTCATAAATAGAAGGAGGCCAGTTTAGCCTGTATGTATGTTTGTGCGCGATTGTCTCGCGATTGGATGAACAGATTTTGATGCGGTTTTCAGTAAAGTGTTTGTTACACTTAGAAGAATGTTCTTGTATATTAATTAACAGAGTTCAAAAAAGAGGGTGTTGAAGTCAGTTTTTTAAACGCAGTTTATACTAGAATTATTACACAACATGTAAATATATTGTGTAATAAAACAAAAGCACAGAAGTAAATAGTAAAATAACTTTATCTTGTGATATTTGACTTTCATTTTGTATTTTAATTAGACAATCGCATTCAGCGCGTTACCAGTTACCGCCGACTTCCCGACTCCCGACCAATAACTTTCAGGTTCATTTGCCAGGCAAATAAGTATAGAAATGCTATTGGTTTAGAAAATCTTAGTAACAACACAAAGCTTAGAATTACGTGTACTATGTATATGTACTTAAGAAGTAGGTTACATGATAAAATTTCATTTCACCTCTTCATTAATTAAACATAAAACATGCTACTTACATTTAAATCTTTAGCTTGTGCCTCTTTCACTGTGTATTCTCTGAGGACATAGTCCGAATTGAGTAAATGGAACATTCTGGTTTCATTGGACCTCACGAGCACGTCATCTACTCTCAGGAAGTATCTCAGCAGGACATACCAGTATGTCGGCATTACTCTCTGAAAGCAAACATCATAATGCTATTAATAATGTTGTTTTAATTAACTATTCAATTCCCAAGCAGTCACCAGTGACCACTCTCCACTAACTCCATTATAGACCTTATTTCCAATGTTTAGAGACTACTTTTGTATGAACAAATTTTGGGTATGATATATCAACATATTAAGTATAATTATTTTTATTTTTAACCCAGAATTGTTTTGAAATCTTAAGAATCAGAAATATTAAACTGTCAAATACCAAGCGGTCACCGGTGACCGCAACCTATTGTTCTTTAATTGTGTCTATAAAACCGGTACCCGACGAGTTAAACATGATAAAATTTCTAATTGCACAAATTATATTTAGGGAATGCCTACAAAATAGCACTTATTTATAACTTCATAACTTTTTAAAATATTCAGAAACAACATAGATATCTTTTATTGTATGTTATGAACATTCTTTATTACTTTAACTTGAGTCAAAAAAGAGGGTTATGTATTTTGTTTTGAAATTACGAAGCTGTAGAGTCTAAACAAGCAACATTTTAAAACTTATTATAAGTAATGTTACTTACTATTTTCACAGACAATTTAGATATTCCGTGATCATGAAGTTCATCTTCAAATAAAGTTAAATCGTGGTAGAAAAGGATTTGGTCCTTTTGTTTGAGTAAATCAAAATCAATTGTTTCACTGGTTGGCTCTACAACAATATTATCTGTCAGTGTTCCTTTGTAATCAGTTGAAAATGTCCAATCAAAAGGCCGCTTTGGTTTTGTTGCATCTGGTCTTAAAAAATGTATGAGTATTAGTTACACTGACAACATATTGCAAAAGTTATTTCAGTTATTACCATTTCACAGAATCATAATTATTACCATTGGAAAGTAATGAAGTCAAGAAGAAATATTCATGAATTATTATTAAAACTTGTAAATGTAAAATCAATTACTAATTATACATCTTGAAACAGTTAGTTGTTTAATAATTTTATTATATTTACCGGGCTTCCTGCCAAGCTTCAGCACATGACACTTCAATGGCATCCATCTTGCTTGCGACACACTTCAGAGAATCAAGAGGATTAAAACAGATCTGTGCACCACTATTATGGTTCAGCTTAAGAATGTTTTTAGGAAACACCATATCAGGAAAATGTGGTATCTTCAGTTCTTTGCAGTATCTGGAAACAAACACAAAAATTAATTTAAAAAAAACTATAATATTGACTACAATTTATCATTAGTAAGACAATTTAATACATACAAACTGTAGTTAATACCAGACTACCCATTGTAAAAACAATATTGTTTTAGCAACATCTTTTCTTGTATTTTGTAAACCAAATCACATCATTACGCTATTGCGTATTTAATAGTGTAATAAAGAAATACAAATGGTCAACACTCACATACAAAACTGGCAAAATTGATCGTCTTCGCGTTCGCAAACGACCTTTGTCGAACACACACTCGGCAGTATACAGCTAACATCATACGATATGTGCCACGGACCAAATTCTATAGATTGCGAGTTACTCGCAAATCTTCCAGGGTCTACGCCGTTCAACTATAATATTAGAACATATAAGTTTAAGTCATCTTATAAGATGCCGGGAGTTTGATTGTTAGGTTACACTTACACAAATGATTGTGTTACATACCTCTGCGTTGAACATATTTAAATACATGCACAATTATTTGGCAGCAAACGATTTTACAAAAACGACAATACAAAACAAATTTCAGCTCCAAATATTTACTCAATCAAGAAAATAAAATCACTATTTCATTTACATAGCCCAATAGACATTGACAGTTTGACAAATGGCAATTGATTGATTGACAATTTGACAAACACTAATAATACCATAGATATTCGTTATCTCTGGTTAGTTCATGTTTTTGACTAATGCAAAAAATTGTTATCGACAGTAAAAACATTTTTGAAAATCTCGACATTGTTAACGATACATATCGATTGTTAACATGCTAAGCCAATGAGCATTCTCATACGGCTCCTGCATATGAGAAATCATTTTTTTTATATCAAATTAGCTGAAAAAATAAATTATGGGCTGTGATTAAATTAACCAAGTACAAATTTCTAGTTAACCAAATTCTAACATTATTAATCTAAAAGAATCTATTAAAAAATATCGATTAAACCTTTTAAAAAATTAGTCATATTAGTAAGGAACATCACTAATTTAAATCAACGGCCAGTGGCGGGGGTCAAATCAATATGGCCGACTTTCACCGGTTGGTTTGTCTGTTTTGATATTTGATAAAAATAATCTTTTTGTGTTACATAAAACTGTCGTAGACCTGTCGAATATATTTATTGTGTACTGTAGAATCAGTATCTAACTATGGAAGCGCTTATACCAGTTATTAATAAGTTGCAAGATGTTTTTAACACTGTCGGAGCCGATGCCATCCAATTACCTCAGATAGTAGTTTTAGGAACTCAGGTAACCATTTTATAAATATTTCAAACAGTTACTTTAAAAACGTAATTCCAATTAGAATGGCAGATACATGCCATGAGTTTCCTGTTGATGTGTCTGTAATGGTTATGTAAAGGTGTCAGTAGAGTTCTTTGTCCCCATTATATTCAATTGAACTACGCTGTCATTGACCAAGACCGTACTTCTGTTATCCCAATCCACAAAATAGAAAAATCTCACTTTGGCATGTATTTGGTAGAATTAAAAATCTTTTGCGCATAGTCACGTTTCTAATTTGTAATCAATAAAAACATCAATGACATCATATTGATTTACATTTAATTTAGAAAGAACTGAAGACCCCCAGAACAAAAAATATATTTCAATCAATTAATTCCAATAGGACACTGTTTTAAACACATGTTTTATTGTTTTTTTAAAAGAGCTCTGGTAAGAGTTCTGTCATAGAGAGTTTAGTGGGGCGTTCATTTCTTCCTCGAGGCCCCGGGATTGTGACCAGGCGGCCCCTGGTTCTGCAACTTGTCTACAGTCCTAAGGATAGCAAGGAACATCGATCGGCTGAAGAAGGTAAGCTAGTTTTTAAGCCTACAATCATATTATTTTCAGAATCTGATTTCTATTAGAAAATTATTGTTATTAGTAATAACAATTTCTTATTGAATATTGATTTTTTATTATTCAAAGAACCACATTAGATTAATTTTCATCATAAGGTCCTACTATTGTTTTGTTCAATCTGAATTACATCAATCTAGAAATGATAACAAGTCTTTGTTCTATTAACTAGATTTTTCAATGCCATGCAATTGAGCATTGATCTTCCTGCTTTTGTTATGTTTATAAGGTCTCTATAGACCACCTATGTGAAATTAGTAATATTCTTCCTCTCAATGTCAGTTGTTTTATTCTACTGCATTGATATGGCATTGAACTCCATAAGTACGAATAAATTAGTCTTCTTATCTATTAATGTGTTACTATATTACTGCATACAGTGATTGTTGTCAGATTTTGTACTAAATATAAGGTGTAGAAAAGAAATAATGATTGAAAATTGTAAAAGAACTCTCTTTTAAAATGTATCGAAATATATTTCAATTCAATGGAGTCAAAAAGTTCTCACTTACTCACTTTGAAATATTCAGCAGCTTACTTAGTTTAAATTGTATTTTATTTAAATGTATTGGAAGGATTAAGAATCCAGAACACAGAGAAAACAACATGGAACCCAATAGCTCAACTTTCCCAAAAACTAAATCCAGGTTTGTAGTAGTTATTGTGTGTAATAAGAATACGTAATTTATATCAGTTTACACATTAATATCCCTCTTTCTACCCTATTATGTATATTGTGTTGTATGATAAAAATAATGGACCATTTGATTTTTTTATTCAAATTGGAATAGTAATCATAATACATGATACTAAACATCAATAAAAGAAGTAATAAACTATTAGCATGTGTGTGTGAGTTTGTATTAAATAACATTTCATATTTATTGGGTTTGTATATTGGATATATTAGATGGGTACCTTGTTGTTTGCATGTGTTCTGGTTCTTATGGACTGCACAAATAAATTACTATTTAAAATCTATTCTCAATCACTTTCCAACAATATCTAATTTCATCTCAATTGTTACAGGAACTGTAAACCTAGAAGAATGGGGCAAATTCCTCCACACCAAAGACAAGATATACACAGATTTCGATCAAATGCGACAAGAAATAGAAAGAGAAACAGACCGCATGGCCGGCAGCAACAAGGGCATCTGCCCAGAGCCTATAAGCCTCAAGATTTTCTCAACCAGAGTTGTAAACCTCACTTTAGTTGATCTTCCTGGTATCACTAAGGTAAATACATAATATTTATGGCATTTCCAATAACAATACACAACATGTATAGCATTAACACAGTATTAATAAATGTGTGTCTTACTAGGTGCCAATTGGTGATCAGCCTGAAGATATTGAAAACCAAATTAGAAATCTTATTATCAAGTACATTTCAAACCCAAACTCCATAATATTGGCTGTGACTGCTGCCAACACAGATATGGCAACCAGTGAAGCTATTAAAATGTCCAAAGAGGTTGATCCAGATGGTAGAAGGACTTTAGCTGTTGTCACTAAGCTGGATCTCATGGATGCAGGTTACTATACTAATATTTTGATACTTCCTTTCCTAAATTGGGTACTTGCCAACTAGTCAAATTCAATACTATTATCAAACTTTGCAAGACGACAATTTTTCTATGAATTATGTATGAGATTGTGTATTGTGATATGACGATTTTATAGCTACAAACAGCATACTATATATATATATATTTCTTAAAAAAAATTCATTTTTGACTAGGAAAGTACCCAATTCTGTGCAATACTTTAGTTTATTACCTCAACAGATAAGAATCAATTCTAGTTTATGTAACTTGAATAAAATAAATATAGTCTAGTTAAAGTCTATGTTTAAATATTTAGGAGTTTCTATCTCTATTTCAAAAGTAATGGCATGCCCTACTAGCTGTCTAAAATATTTGAGTTAAATTAGTATCAATTTTTAACTTATCTCCAGAATATGATTACATGATAAGTTTGATAAAAAATAATGTTCAAAATCATGTTATTTCATTAAAGGTTTGCGATAAAAATAGTTAATGTTTCTAGTTGATGTTTTCCTAGATGCAATGCTTGTTACTCAAAATAGTTATTTATTTCAGGAACTGATGCCATAGACATCCTATGCGGCCGCGTCATTCCCGTAAAACTTGGCATTATCGGCGTTGTAAACAGATCGCAGCAAGACATAATTGATAACAAATCGATAGGGGTAAATTATCTATGATATCTACATATTTCAATAATAATTAATAATATTTGCTGCATCATTGGTATGTCATCTCACCATTTTAAAGGTCTATCCTTTAAAACACATGCATTTGAGTTTTAAATTGTAATAATACCTGTCATTTACAAACCAGACTGGTTGCATAAAAATTTATAGCATAATTTTTAGTTATTATTTTGAATCTAAAACTTCATAGGTCCAAAATTCAATATATCTAAAATACCTATCGCGACGAAATTGTTTTTATTATCTATTTAATTACTGCATGACTTTCCAAAGAAAAACGTGTTTTGTATTTACGTAACAATAACATGTGCAATTGATATTAGATAGTAATTAGAATCATTTATTCTTCAAACAGGATGCTCTCAAAGACGAAGCAACATACCTCCAAAGAAAATATCCGACGATCGCTACACGCAATGGCACGCCACACTTGGCAAAGACCTTGAACAGACTACTGATGCACCATATTAGGGATTGCTTGCCTGAATTAAAGGTAATTGTACATTTTTTCATATTATAACCTTGTTTAATGGTGTTTTCCAACTTCTGTGTGTACTTGTTTGTTCTCTATTAAGAACAACTTCAAATCGATATTTGCTTATTAATTACCTCCTTTATTTAGAAGTTAATAGTAAACTTAAAACTTCGATACTTTTCATAACAGGTTCGCGTGAATGTAATGATCTCACAGTTCCAATCTCTTCTCAACTCTTATGGAGAAGATGTTTCGGATAAGTCACAGACTCTACTTCAAATTATAACAAAGTTCGCTAGCGCATATTGCTCTACCATAGAGGGTACGGCCAGGAATATAGAGACTACTGAACTTTGTGGAGGCGCCAGAATATGCTACATATTCCACGAGACATTTGGCCGCACTTTAGATTCCATACATCCTCTAGTCGGTAAGTGGTTTTAAGTTTCCGTGTATACAACATACAATAAGTACGTTAAGAGTTCGCGGTAATGTAGTAACGTCATACGAGCTCAGCGAAGAATCATGCTATTCAAGAAAGTTATTTTGCACTTATCTCAATAACGAACGTAAATGTCCTGTTGTAATTATAATTGTGTTATTGTAAACATGACAATCTGTGAATGACAGTCAGGTCTTTCAACTGATTATTATGTGATTCATCAATACTAGTACTGACTGGGCTGGCAGCGTGACTGGCGACATGTGCCGCAACCATGACATTGTAATAAAAGAAACCTTATTTCATTGTCATAAGAGTCACTGTTTTTAAAACAAATACTTTTTTTTAACAAAGACGAATTACTATTTTTAATTCTATTCTATGCCAGGTTTGACGCGCATGGACATTTTGACCGCGATCCGCAATGCTACGGGTCCACGGCCAGCTCTGTTTGTGCCTGAAGTCTCGTTTGAACTGCTTGTGAAGCGGCAGATAAGGAGACTTGAAGATCCTTCGCTTCGTTGCGTGGAACTGGTAAAATTTTACTCTTACCTAATTATAGTAATGTTTTAGAATGTTGGTTTCCAAGCTGGAGAGGGCCATAAATCTTGCATTGTGTGGTCAGTAATGTGTGACGTCTATTAAATGAATAATTATGTATGAAGATACCACTAGAAAGTTGAAGCTACAAAGTATTTTGTATGTTGCCATGATATGTCTGTTCTTAAAACAATCATATTACGTCGTGTAGGAGTGGTTGTTTTAACAGAAATGTTATAACCGCAATAAGCATGGTTCTATATCCAAACCATGTATTTATTTTATCTGTATAATAACTGATTGTTATTTAATGTCAGCAGGCATTAGCTTAATGTGGACTCAGATCTGATTCTTCTATTTTCATCAACCTAAATATTCTTTTGATATTAATGGTTTGTCTCGTTAGTCTCAGGTTCCAGCTAAGTAGTATTAGGATTGTCGGCTATAATTTTTATCTGAATTACGTTTTTGTTAGATAATTTTCAGCTAACACTGAAGAAATTAGTAAAAAATACGTAAAAATTGCTATGATAATGATAGTTCTTTTCTGAACTATAGGTACATGAAGAGATGCAGCGTATAGTGCAGCACTGCGGCACAGAGGTGCAACAAGAAATGTTGCGGTTCCCGCGCCTGCACCAGCGCATCGTCGATGTCGTCACACAGCTACTGCGCACCCGTCTGCCGGCTACTAACGCTATGGTATGTATGGACACTTACATTCATTAATTCCTGTAAATTCAAACCTGTTATTTATAGATCCAAAACAGTATATCTTTGCACCTCAGTTCTACTTAGATCCGACAAAAACAGGTATTTTTTTTCTTGATACCAAAGTATAGTAACGTTTTTGAGATAAGCAAACGGAGATAATGTCGAGAAAATCGTTTTATGATATAGATGTATAGTAGGTAATACATATCGCTTCTATGGAGTCATACCGCGTGTAACCTTGACTTATACTGTGGCAGGTTTATATCAATGTGGTTTATTGTACGAACCACAAATTATCATCAATATTCGGAACATCGTGGTGACGCCACAAATATACAAAATATTGCACAAGTTTATTTTGTATGAAAAATGAATTTGCAAGTTTGTAACATACAAATTAATGATTCACTGTGATAATGTTACCAATCTCGAAAAAAAATAGACAAATTACTTAGTTACTAATCGTATAAAAACTGTATTATGTTAACGTTTTCTTGCACAACACGCACACCAATTGTTTAGATTTGATGAATTAAATCACTGTTCACAATTTCAGGTGGAGAATTTGGTACAAATTGAACTGGCATATATCAACACTAAGCACCCCGACTTTCACCGTGAAGCTGCCTTGGTGTCGGGTTTACTGAAGAGTACAGACAGTCTGATGGACGAGCACAGCCCCGTTTACCGGCAGAAGACACCACGGCCCGCGTCCTCACCGGTATTCGCCATGTTCAAAGTATATATAAGCTTAAGTTATTATGTCACGTGCCTGTGGGAACTAATGCCACTAACTTGAGGTAAGTAGTGTCGCTGTCCAACTCCTTACGGTTGCCCATCGTGAGTAAATAGTGCACTAGTCTCTGGTGAGTGTAAATGTGGCCGTCAAACTTAGTCTCAACATTCATTTGAAAAATATATATTTATTACTTTGTTTTTGTTTGTGTGTTTTATGAAATTACCAATTCAACATGTAAATTCATCCATTGTTTTAAGATCCATCCATTTATGACGATGACCTACTGTATGGAGTAGATAGTTAACACATGTAGTGTAGCTAGACCAGCTAGAGTGGCCTATGGCACAGACTTTTTTTTGTAGTTCTTAGTAACATTTTGGCATGTATTTGATTTAACAACTGACTTCCTTTTTGTTATGATATAAAATAAATATGCAGGCATTTTTCAACATCTTTATTCACTTTCAAAAACTATAGTAAACATGAGCAATATACAATACTTGATGGTTGTTTTCTGCCTGTAACAGAACAAGGCTACCATCAGATGGACTTTGCAGCAACTGCTGATATGATGGTAGCGTTAAACTGTTATGTATTTTAACATATCTAATTTTCTCTTGTGATTAAATAACTATTGCCAATTATTTTGTAGCTATTTCTTCGACAAATGGGTGAAAGAGGGTCCACCCTAGTATTCTTGGCAAGTGTATGGGAATCACACAACAAGGTAAAATAAAACTCACAACATATAGTGAGGGCTAGTGACATAACTACAGACTCATGTTAGCCACATTGTCCTACTAAACCATGTGACGGCATCATGTTGGTGACGCTTGGAATACTACGTGGGCTCTCTTTCAATTCGAGTGTAGACAGAGATCGATCATGCGAACTATGCCGTAACTCGTCTTATATTTCTATTAACAGTGTTGTAAAAGGCATATCGCATGATTTATACTATGTATACATTCTTGAAATCGTAAGTTTAGATGACAAATATTTATTTAAACACCGCTTTTCAGTATTATTGAATAACTTCTATTTCTTCTTGAAGATTTTTTTTGTCATATAAACTTGGCTTAGCTATTGCTGACTAACCTTTATTCATTAGCAAACATTTTGTATTCACTAACGACGAACTTATCCAAATAGGTATGAGGTCATGTCCATTGTCACTAATATATTTATATTGGAGAAATTAGCATTTTATATGACGCCAACGGGTAAACATACGATTTCTGTACTTAATTATTATTTTCTTTTTGTTATTGTATGCATGAAAGTAATTTTAGTTAGATATTATATTTGAGGGGTCTAGTAACAGATAGAAGGATCACTTTAAATGTTGGAAATTGTCTTTTTAGCATGTGCCAGCGATCACGGATGGTCAGGAGAACAAGTCTCCAACACAGAGTAATAACAGTGAATCTCCTGCAACTCCACAGGTAAAATACGGTTTTACAATGGTAGAATAGTTTGGAAATGTTTTATGCCAAATTATTGTCCTTTATTGCGGGTATACATAATGCATGTGAATAAAATGAATACAATGATCATGTATCTGGTTTTGTTAGTCTACTCCTTACAGTACATAAAATTGATAGGTCTTAAACAAGTGGAGGAGTTGGGAGAAGCGGTTTTAAGAGGTTGTGGCGGGCTCGTCCCAAAAATTATTCGTATTCGTTCCATCATCATTCGTTGCGTCCATTTTCTTATTCATTTCATTATGGATTTTTGTCATCTGTAAACAATACTAAAATTATAATTATTTCAGATGAATGGAACCCCAGAGAATAAAGTACTGACGCCTCAAAAGCCAGTGAACCTTCTACCAGAAGTGCCGAGCCAGACCTCGCGCAAGCTGTCCGACAGGGAACAACATGATTGTGACGTCATCGGTAAGTGAAATCTTAACATTTTTGCTTTGTTTGGAATGTTATTCATTCACGTTTTTTATGAACTAATTGGAATGAAGATGAGGCTTGATTTAATACACTTTTAACCAGTAATTGAGTTTTGTTTGGAGCTAAAGGCAATTAACATTCGATGTAGTAAATTGATAACTGTTTCATAGTCAATTATTAATCGGGCGAGCATTAGCATCATTTCAGAATTAATATATGTATGTGTATCACTACATTGTGCCATTCAACAGTATTTTCTTGTGATGTTAGGTGGGCGGAGCGATGAGCCATCAATCCTAATTCCTAACTCTGAGACAGTAGACGGCATCAACGTGATGCAATTGAATCAAATGGGTGATTTAGTGGGTGAGGATAGCGGCGCGGTGTACAGAATGCTTTACTCATATTGCTCACTGTTAAACTTCCGACCACCTACCATCGACTATTTTGCTTGCTGCTTGTTTACTTTGAATTGTCATTAACTAGACTTTTTACTAACCCCTAATCATTTAACTAATAATTTGATTTATTAGGCATATTTTTTATTTGATTGTGGCTTGTGATTTGTCTAGTAACTAGAACGTAATATAATTTGATGTGGGCATATTAATTTTTTACTAGTTGTGAACATTTTTATGTAGGTTAACATTAAAATATTATCTTTATTTAACCTTAAACCATCCATCACAAACATTAGCATTGCATTTTATAACTGATTTATTAAGCACATTACTAACAACAAAACATCAGTTGGTTTATTTAAGGATTTGTATTACTTATGGGACTGTCATTTCCTTTTATAAACCAGCATGAGGTAGTAACAAATAAACATTTTCATATTGATTGGTTTTTCAGAACGGCTGATCAAATCTTACTTCTACATAGTGCGCAAGTCTATCCAGGACTCGGTGCCGAAAGCTGTGATGCATTTCCTAGTGAATTATGTGAAGGATAACCTGCAATCTGAGCTTGTTACTCACCTGTACAAGTCTGACCAGGCAGAAAGCATGCTCAATGAATCGGAGCATATTGCGCAGCGACGGAAGGAGGCCGCTGACATGCTGAAGGTAAGTGTACTAAGTACTTGTACATTACAAATACCAAAATCGCACAATTGAAAGCCAAATTATGATTGGAATGATTTGATGATTAATGAACGATGTTTTTTTCTCTAGGCTCTGCAACGCGCTGGTCAAATCATCAGTGAGATCCGGGAAACGCATATGTGGTGATGGTCATCGGATGACGAAGACTCTAGTCTGTGAATTAGTGAATTTGAGCAGTGAGCTCTGTACATACTCCTTTTAAAGTAGGTAAATTATGTGCATTAGGCTTTTTTACTTACGATTCACATACATTTGCTTTTATCATTCAACTCTGCCGCTCTCTTCGCTATGTATTAGAAGTATGTATTTATTCATGACATTATGTCGCAAACCAAAAATTCTGAGTAAAAGCAGAAATGTAGAAGCAAATGCATGTTAGTTATTAGTTGGGACATTTTTAAAATGGCACCGCATTAAAACTATAATTAAGTATTCAGTCATTTTGCAATGTTTGTTGTAGAAAGTACTTATTGTTGTCAATTGATAATTTTTTATCATGTAGGAAGTTCTATTTGTGTCATCATGCATGATTGTTTTAATAGTTCAAGCTCAAATGTGTGTGCCTTGTATCAGACTGCTCATTGTGAACTTTGATGTGTATATTTATGCTCTCGAAAGTTTTTCGAATTTATAGCCATAATAACCTTTATCTGTACACATTGAGCTTGAGTTTTTAAAACACTTAAACATTCACAAGTTGGTATTTTTTTTCGTTTGACTTAAGTTTTTGTTAGAACTAATGGCGCTTATATTAGCTTGAGTTTAGGCGATCGTGTGGTTCTATTGTTGATGTCTTAGATAACTGGACAATTAAATAAACTTTGAAATATTTGCTAGATAATGGTACAGTATGGTTATGTTTGTTTAAAAGAACTTGAAACCTGTTTCCATGATGATGTAAGTGGTACTTGATACATAATGAATTTACCTTTTTATTTTGGTTACACAAAACTGTGCCAATACATTTTATATGACGATGCGTCGAGATGACTTCTAAGAATGATTAAATGTTGCACAAATGTTAAATGTTCACTTCAGTTACCATTTCACTATTGTATGAATATGCACATAATGTAGGCGTAACTATGAAATGTACTCACATGTAGTTATTAATGCAGTGATATTACTTGTAATGTCTACTATATAGACATTGTCGTAAAAGTTGGCTGTCCTTAGTAGTTTACTGTACCTTATAATGAAATTGTTTTGCTCGTAATGTAATGATTGAATGGTGTGTAGTCAGATACTATGAATCGTTTAGATGTATTATTCTGTCTATCCCTATTTACAGGGTCGGTTGGTAATTTTTAAAGTAGTTGTCTGTGACCAATACAAGGCTTTTATCATTGATTACATTGTAAGTTGATTTAGGGCAATATGATAATAGTAATAATAAATTGCTTTTACAGTATATTTTAAATATAGTTCCTTGTTCATTAGTTTTTAATTTCGCATGCTGTGTTATAAAAATTCATTCACTTTTTCAAGTCATTTTGTGTCATGTCCATGCTAAAGTAATTTATTTGTTTTTATCATGATCTAGCATAGTGAGTATTCCAATGTTACATGATGTATTTATTGTTAAAGTCCAAAAGTGATTTGCTTTATGTATCAAACAAAACCAATTGAATGTTACATAAATAAGATTGTATTTAAAAGTCTGTTAAATATTAAAATAGATTAATTGTCATGGTCACGATGCATTTTTATTTGTATTACCTTCTCCTAATTAGCAAAAATGGTGTCTTAGAATTAAAACTGAACATCAACAATCACGTTCTCAGGTGCGACCTTACTCAAGTAATACAGATAACACAGTAAGGTACCTTCCTTAAATTTATTCTTAACTTCCTCAGCTGCTTCTTACAGGTTCAAACGAAAACAAAAACAGTTGAGTTATCGGTATTTATTGCATATAATAACGATGGTATTTACATATTACATAGGTACTGAGATTTTACAATAGCATGTAGTGCAGGTTATTAAAATACTCAGTTATCATTTTAAACGTGTTTGTTATCATTGCAAATATATTAACAAAATGTATGGTTAACATTAACAAAATAATGTAAACTCAATACAAAGTAATCCAACAAGTTGATTCCAGGAACAATGTAAATTATGGCAATTATTTTCCTACTCAACAGCAAAAGATCGAATTATTTACAAAAATGTAACAATTAGGGGGTTTGAAATACACAGCCAATAACAATAACTAATGTAAAATTCATACTATAAATAGACTTACGTGTTTTATAGTCATGGAAGTAAATGAGATTTAGGATAATGGAGATATCTATAAACTACATGAGCCCCACGTATAGCCCAATAGCCATTGGGATTATGATGTGAGATGAGATTCAGCTCGACACCTCCCTAACTTCATGTGAAATTATAAGTCACTAAAAAATATCTTGTGTGGTTGTGGGCTTACAGAATGATAATTTATTTATTTGCTTCCTTTAGGTCCGTAGTTTTGTACATATCAAAACATTTAACTGAAGGAATGAAAACTGTTGCAGTCTGTCAGATTTAGTAATTATTCCCCTCCCTACACGCTTCACGTAAATTTATAAATACTTAAACGACTTACAGTTGCATGGTGTTTGTGATGCTTCGATTAATTTACACAAAGATTTTCTACCACTAATTTAAACACTATTTTATTATTGCATCTATCTATAATTTTACACTTATGGCAAGGAATTAGAGACTTGTGACTTTATTCTATTTAAAAATAATTGCCTTATTGTTTAGAGAGCCTTTAATATCAAAAATATGTTAGTAGTTATACCCAATCTAGTCGGAATGATATTAGCGTTGTGGATAAAATTCGAATTAAAAAAATAACGTACTCCTACGTATGTTACATTTATTTCTAATTTCTATATGAAAAATACACTCAACTACCGACGAGTACTGATTCGTATTTTTTAATATTGTTTACTGATATTTTTTTCGACTTTTTACTAACATCTAAACACTGGACAACATCAAATTAAGTCTATCTAAATACTGTTCATTCCCAAAATGCAAATGGAAGATTTGTACTTCATTTTGAAGGATTAGATCTAACTTCAATACATGCAAACATTAGTTTTGTGACTAAAATGACTATTATTTATTTACTAGAAACAACATTATCAATATTATTAATATATTTTTAGTTAAATTAATGTTTTATTCGAGTGCCTAAAAAATTAGATTTTTTTCCTTATGAAAATTGTACTTTTTTATGTGGCAGGAGAGATTCAAATTAGAATATGGTATCAACGGCATAATTATTGAATGAATGATTTTAGGTGTAGTTATAAGAGTGCGTTCACACAGAGGTGACGAGGTTAGTGCGCGGGCGCGCAGTCCTGTGCTAGGAGGCAGACTGCTTCTTCTCAGCCTCCAGCAGCTTGTCATCCGAGCAGAACTTTTCCAACTGTTTCACGTAGTATGTGTTGAAGTTAAGCCTGTGACAAATAAAAAAATATTGTTAAAATTGCAAAATTCTTCAAAATAATTTAGCCAAAGAAGTTGTAAAGATTAACATAAATACCTGGCAGATATATTAAGTAGTTTGTTGGTATTGTTGTCCCTGGCCATCCTCTCTATGATTGCAAGTACAGACAGCAGCGCAGCCGTGAACCGCAGTCCGTAGCGTGATACGGAGCGAGAGAATGAGTCCGCCGACCCACTCGTTGCCGTCCCACCACAACCCGCGTCCTATCATCACATCACAGTATAACTATCATACATCTTAAACTATGTCCGTAAAATTAACAATAGTAAGAACCAATTTTGAGTAGGTACATACACAGTTTGTCAGGTGTACAGTATCTATTTAGATACTATGAAACCGACATTTAGTGGCTTACAAGTAAAGTTAAGCAAGATGGAAAGTAAAAATAATAATGCTACAACATCGATCGCATAAAATATCGATAAATACATATTGGGAACTCTAGAATTACCATTATAATAAATAAAATTACAATAAATACTCACTGTAAAAGTCTAAAACAGAAAAGTCATGAAAGAATGATAAGAATAATATAGGTTAATAATGTTTTTGATACATCACAAATACTACATGGAAGCAAGATATGTCTGATAAATTCATTAGTTTCGAGTACTTATTAATTACCTTTACCTTTAGAAGCAAGACAAATGAAAATGTATTACCCAATCATAAAAGGGAATTAAGTGAGCGCGGCTTGTGATTGGCTGAAAGTTTGACGTTAGTTAAGTCGTCATGTCGCCAAAGAATAGTTCACAATGGTGAAATTCTATGATACTTGTGATATTATTTACTTTGCATCAGTGCACTAGTGTTACTATTGATCTACTCGGTATATACCTCACTATATTCTGAATTGTCATACGTCGATCCAAGCATACTGTTAAGCTCTGCGTCCACGAAGTACTTGTGCATCTCCTTTTGCCAATTAACGTGATTTGGTAGCGTTAAAAGAAAATACAATAATAAATTAATGTTAGAAATCATATAGGTATACTAACCACTGGAAAGCCTTGCGAACACCAATCAAAATATATAATTATGCAGCAGAAGAAAATATAAGACTAAATATTATGTATTAATACTAAGAAAGAAAAAAAAAATTTTTTTTTCTTTCTTTCTTCTATTCATTGATAAAATAAAAACCTTCACCAGATTTTAAGACTAAAGTTCATAATATATATTTACAGTATAATAACACTAAAAAATAATTAAAAATACACAGACTACCTATATTGGTTGTATTGTGATAGCTTGAAAGAGCAAAATAATTAGTGGAACGACGCATATAGTATACTATACCTTGAGCTCGTGCCTGCTGGTTCCACACTACTATTAAAAGCAAACATTTAAAAAAGAAAGTTTAATAGTAGTGTGGAAGCACCATATGGGTGACAAACCGTAAACGATCACGATGAAAATATAATCTCTATCTCACTAATTTGCTTGCATACTATTTGCTCAAAATCAACTACCTGTAACTCTAAAGTATATTGTAACTCTAAAGTATATGTATGGATATTTATTATGAAGTTTTTCTAAATAAAATGTGCTTACGTACCTGAATGAATGTACAGAATTGTACACAGACGAGACACAGTGTGGTGACTGCTTTCAA